TAACAAAGTTACTTTCAATCCCACCCCCTAAACAATTGATTTTATTCACTTCCCCTGTGCTTGTGAACTGCCCCCTTGAAAGACTGTTTGGAGCAATGCAACCGTTGGTTTTAATAAGCGTTCTTTTCAAAACAATTTCCAGGTCAGAATTCCATGAATCAAGCAAGCATCAGGAGAGTTAAGTGAGGATTTTAAAGGGGGAACAATAGCAAAACAATAGAAAGGTAAACAAAAAAAACTGGGTGAAAGGAACCTTTATTAAATTATTCCCTCCCACTAAACTATGTAGGGTGTTGGAATAATTTGGCTCAAAATGTCTACTATTCCTCCCACTGGGGACTCTCACTTGACTAATTAGGATCGGACATTACGTGTGTCCCTTTAAGTTGGTCAGGAAACCATTCACACAAGAGAATGAACGTGCCAAGAAAAAAACCGCGCCAGAAACTCTCCTGCGGCAGGTGGCCAATGAGATCTACCCCGCCGAGGCCAGGACACTTGGATGCTTGGCAGTGCAAGCTGCAAGCCGGATGGCATGGAAGCTCCAAACATCCAGAAATGAACATCAATGGTGAAATGGCATTTCTCTTTGCCAAGCTTTGGGAGGATTTCTTGCATGCTGAAATGATGCTTGTTGGTATTTGACAACCATCCTTCATATTCAAAGCATTTGAGCCCCAAAAAGAGGCTCCCATTAGGTCACACATAAATCCTTCTGGAATGTTGACAGCTCATGTTCTATTAGTGATTATTAGTGACCAGGATTATACAGTACCGATTATTTCAAGGTGTTTTTAAACAGTGGTTTCAGAATAGATGGCACGCACTTTAAATTATTAAGGGGGTCCATATAAACCACCTTTGGGGGATTGCGCCATCTACTCTAAAACCACTGTATTATACTGTAATTACTTTGTTCAATAGAAGTGCTAGATGCGCAGATTTGCCTTTCCAATCGCACGAATCGCCGGATGATCAGGGTCCTTTGCTCGTGACTTTGGCCTTTAGTTACCAGCTGGTTGCCAGCTGCAGGGGCAACTATGGCAACTGGATCCACTGACCCACTGTGAAGAAAGTACTGTAACACGAAGGACAATTGGGCCGTTGCCGGACCACTACTCACTACAAAGAGTGATGGCAAGACCTGCGGATGAATAGCATAGACATAGTCATAGACACCCAAACTTTCCACATCACTGCAAGCTTTAAGAAGTGGTGTTCGTTGGTGTAAGGTGCTCACGTAATGTATCATCCCCGGGCAACAATGTGAGAGCATTTGACATGTTGCCACCCCATCCAAGCTCTTTCCATGTTCAGCTCTTCCTCGATGCTAGTCATAGTCGTTCCGCTCTCCCGAGCTCTCCCCATGTCTCGTCTCCACCGATGTCTCATCTCTCAGGATGTGGCCTTTGCTTGGCGGGGGGCCGCTTGGCCGCCATGCTCGGCCCTTTAGTCTTCGAGGGGTGCCTTGGCGTCACCACCTGGCGATCCGGACGTACCGGTAACGGAAACGGACGGACCGTGCTCACCGCCGTCCCGCGTCCTCGGAACGCGTAGCGGGACGGTGGCGGAACTCGCTGGTGAGGGGAGGGTTTGGTTGGCTTCTTGATCTTTGAGGTGAAATCGAGCGTTGGGTGCGACACGGATACCGTGGAGGATCGTTCGACCTTGGAAGAGCCCGGAGACCCTTCGCGGACGTCGGCCTGTGCCATGGCCTCGAGGGATCTACGAAAAGCGACGGTCATCAGCACCACGGAGGACCCGGGTGTCCGAGCCCGAGGTCATTTGGGGTGTCCATTCACCACCACTGGGGGTCCAGGCATTTCTGGTTTTGGAGACATGCCCCTTGAGTCGGAACCCCGATGGCCTTCAAAGTCTGGCATATCAATTGCACATAATGCTCCTAGTCGAGAATCTTCCCATATCCTGCGCTGATCTTGGTGTTTCACCAGTTGGTCGCAACTTTCCCACAGCCTTCAACGGACCCAACCCGTGCCAACCCCAATTTCAGGACAACCAGCTGGGTCAGCGGCATCCCTTCGCATCGCATGTGTTATCTCAGCTCCCGAGGATTACAGCACTGACCGGAACTTGGTTGTCCTTCTTCCTCCTCATGGCGGCCGGGGCGGTGCCGGGGCGTCATGACGGACGTTACGTCCTTTTCGTGAGTGATTTAGGGCAGGAGAGAAGTTCTAGAAGGACACATTTCCGTGGATGGTACTTTTGGCGCTTCAAACCATGAGCTACCTTGAACCTGAGCATTAGCAGGGATTAGGGCCATGATTAGCGGGTTATGAAGTCAACAAAGGCGGTAAATCGCTTAGCTATACAACTATATATGTCTTTTGCATTGTGTTTTTGCATATGTATGTCTATGTGTACACACATATATATATATAGCCATACAACATGTTAACACCCCCAACTTATCGACCAAGCCTTAACTCAACTGTTGTTCTTAAAGATTCCCTGTTTACTGGGGGGTCAGGTTGAAGAAAAACAGTGCGTGTCGCTTGCGATGGTAGCAGCGAAAAGAATGGCAGCCTATCTGGTGGGCTTTGCAGGAGTTGCATTCTTTTGCCTTTAGTCAGCTGCACTTTTATTTGCATGGAGTAAGCAACTGAGTGTCACAAAAGGCAAGTGCACAGTGATCCCAAAGGGTTCTGTCGATCCCATCGTTCAGTTGAACACATTGACTATTATAGACCATAACAAGTACCTTTGTAAGGGGCGCGTCCATTTCCAGTGCCCACACCTGCAGAATTGAGTTTCAGTCGTCCTTTCGCATCTTTCGCCACAGCAACAACACTTGCGTACCGTTTGTGCCATTGAGGTCTTGAATTTGTGGATCAGCGACTTCGTGCCGGAGACCGCTCATTTGGTGCTTGATGACTCCGATGGCGAAAGCAAGGAGAACTGAGCGCTTGACCCAGCGCCAGGTGAAGCAGTGACTCTGCGCTGGAACAGACCGGGGCGAACCTGCCGCGGAACTTGCCGCACAGCACAAGTGGGGCGAAGCGATTGGGGTCCAGTGAACCAACGGTGTGTAGTGGAAGCGCCTAGACTTAGACTTAGTCTTCATGAAGCATGGGACCTCTTGCAGGCCACAGCTTGCACAGCTTTCTTGGGGTCCTGCGAGGTAAATTTGGGTATATTTGGGGTTGTGCTCATCCCCAGGCTTCTCCATTTTTCATCAGCTTGTCCCTTCCTTACAAACCCCAAGGTTCGCACCCGGCAGGGTTCATCCATGTTTCAACCATGCCACAAATACATCACGCTGGCGTGGACGATAGAAAGACGAGTCCAAGACTTGGGTTCACCAATGCTACCATGATGCGAATCTGAGGATCCGATGATTTGGTGCACCAGGAGTCACAAGATGGGGGTGGTGTTTAGTCCCATCCAGTGAGTGGATAATGGGTACGCCTAACCTCCATTAAGCACCCCTTTGTGACTGCTGGTATTTGATTTAGTTGATTGCTGTACGTCTTACGTTTGTTTGGCCAGCAAGCAGGCAAGCAAGCAAACAATCATAACGCCATTCATTGACAACTGACGTTCCCACATTCTCGGCAGCCACGTGGCAGCTCCAGCTGATAGGACCAAAAGCACCCAAAACACGGACCAAGCTCCATCGGCCCGAGGTGTTGAAGTAGGAGCGCAGAGATCTATTGGGCATCTTAGATGTTTTTCGCGAATCAGACCTGGATTCTCCACGGCTTTCGCTGGTTTTGCTTGGCCAAATTGTGGGGGCAACACATGTTGGAGTAAGTTTGGAAGAAAAGGTTTGAAATGGAAGGAAACCCAAGTCTTGTTTCCATACTGAGATGGTCAAGGAACCGCCGCGTCGATCGGCGTTCGCAGGAAAAGCGTCAGCCAAGTTCAGGGTTCCCTTCATGGTCTTTATTTGGGAAGTGTGTTCAAGAGTTGCCTATTGGGTATACGATGTTGTAAGAAGTCCTCTAGCCTGTGATGTTCAATACCAAACG